GTTTGCAATGACTTGCGATTCTTGACGCAATGACTCACGTGCATTACAGTGAATCTCTCTGCCACAATCCTGAAAAAGCAGTTCAGCACCAATCGTAGAGTCGTAAGACCTTTCCGTAAGCGTAAACTGCTTACGTTACACACGCCGTAACGTGAACCGTAAAAAACGCTACGCTGCTCATCTATACTACGCTATTGAGCAGTTTGGATTGGATCAGCTAGATGCTGATAGGCGGGATTACCTATCACCTATAAGCTCTCAGAGCCGTGAAGGACACGAGATTACCTCCGCATTACCAAATCGACAATGTACAGTGTACACGATCGTGATCCACGGCCGCACGGTGTGGCTCCTGTTGGCCTGTTAGTCAGCTGCGTTATATCGATTCACTATGTGTAGTTCGACTCCGCTCGTGCGCTATTAGCTCATTTTGTCGTCTGAGTCGGACAGTCCGACTGTACGATCCTACCAGTGCGATGTGGAAAGTGCTGTCTATCCAGCAGTGCTAGACTAGCACTGCAAAGCGTGTTCACGTGTACACGTGTCAACGCTAAATTATATCGAGAAGAGGTTGTGGATTCCTTCGACGATTACTGATGGCACTCCCGCCAGCGTCGTTGGGCGTATTCAAGTAATATCTGATATCTGCATTTCTCTTTGTCGATGCCAGAGTCACTGGCAGCGACTAGGTTGAATGCCAATCGACGAACTTAACGCAAAACGTGCCCTCTGATCTCATTCCACCCAGCTCAGGCCCGTACACGTAGAGAATAGACGTACACGTGCAAGTATAGCTATGCAGTCCGCCCGTATACAATAAAGTTTATGCTTCATAAATTATGCCTCCATGAACCTGAGGTTTTTTTCTTCTCGCTGTTCGAGAACTGCCCCTTCTTCACTACAACCCTCGAACTCTCATCAACAAACTCTTCAGGTTAAGTCTTATTCGTAATGCCTTTCCCCTACGGCCTCTTTTTGGTTGCCATTGTGACGCAAACAGCAGCCCAGAGACAACCTGATATCCCTTACCAGGTTACTGCTGACTATCCAGCCGGTTGTTATGGAGGACCTGGTCCAGGGGAGGGAAGCAACATTGCCGAGCTTCAAGCGCCTTGCTGCATTTACAACGTGAAGGGATACACAGTCGGTGCAAGAGAAGCTCGGGTTTATAGAGAAACTGCCGGTATCATACTCAACACCAACAGGCATAATTTAGCTGGCACCATGCAAATAAACGTCACTTTGATGTTTAACATCTCCCTGCTCCAACCCAAGTTCATCGGTGCCGAAGTTGAGACGTATGGATTGGCTCACCCTGAGTGTCGGCGATGAAAAGC